TATATATACTATTACATTTATGTTTGGTTATATTCATGTAATTATTGTTTAAATTTGTAGACGAGGAAACAACCAGGGAGTTACGAGTGTGGGTATTATGTCATGAAACACATGTTAAACATTGTCCATGCCAATATTTTTTATTTATGGGATAAGGTATATAGTATATATGTCATAAAATGTTTACATTATATTATATATAAGTTGGATATTCAATTACTATATATGTCATGTTAAACACTTTTGTGCTCTTTTTTATGTAGTTGCTTAACGACGAAAGACCATTCCCCGTTAAGGACTTTATAGAAATTCGTAAACATTGGACATTTATCTACAATGTGCTTAAGGGTCTTGTTGTTTGATTTATAGATATGTTTAATATATTTTTGAATTTGATGAAGATGTAAATAACATATTTTATGTTTGATATAAATATTATTGTTGGCTTTTGATGCAAATTGTAGGTTGTTTTTTATGTTCCTTATGCATGGTTAACAAAAATACATGTTGCATTTAATTTTTTGATATGGCTAAAATAGATACAAATTAAAATATGGGAAATTTTCTAAAAGCAGAGGATTATTTTTTAAAAAAACAGCAGAAATTTTGACAATGGTTATAACAACTAACTGTGGTTGTATGTTGAATGCTGACCAGAATAATATAAATTCCAAAATGTCGCTGCTTAGAATCAAACATGAGATCTTTAGGTATATCACAACAGTTGAGTTAACTAACTCTTGTGAAATGGTGCGCGCTTTCCAATATACTATAACGGTCCCAGGACTGTGATTGTAAGTGACTCATTTACAATATCACGCTACATAACAACATATGTGCATGTGTGATTCTATATATTTTACAACCATTGTTAAATGGCTTTTTCGTAGTAGTGTTTGTTGTTGTCGTTGCATTAATCGTATGTCATGCATAATTTGTGTTATTATTGTGAAAGAGACAACTTACGAGTCTAGAATGGTGGATGAGAACCTTGTCCCAAACCTAGAATGATGGGTTTGGGGTCTAGAAGAGCGGACTCGGTTCAGATGAAGAACCTTCTGAAGGTGTGAAGAAAACGCAAGAAAGGGGAGAGGGGTTTGAATTGGATTTTTCTTTCTTGTAAAACTTTCGCTTCTAAGAATTATTCGTTGAATAATGCTTTTGATTGTTGCTTCTAATTAATGCTCCTATTTTGGTTCAGAAAACATAAAATCTAAAGCATAAGAAAAAGTAAAGAACACACGATATATCCTGGTTCACTTGAGAAACCCTCAAGCTAATTCAGTCCACCCTTCCGAGGTGATTTTGCCTTGAACTCAAAGACTTAATACACTATAATCAATCTGATTACAATTGCACGGGCAACCGCCGGTGACTCACACCCAATGAAAAATTCAGGGATCCAAACTGGATATAACATTCATTGACCCAACATAATTTGATTCTCTAGAATCTCCTATCATGATTTCCTTCCAATGATATCCATCAGTGATCTCAGAAGGCTGACTTTCACTCAACTCCTTTTGAGATATGACTACCATTGACCCAATAAAATCCACTACTAGGATTTCATCTACGATGGCCGCAACCAAAGTCTTATCAAGTCTTATGATCTTCACTCTATCACTTGAGGTGCCAACCAATTATAAACAAAATGGTTTTTCTGGAGATTATATGAGTGCTTCTTATCAAGCAGATTACTCCTAATTTAAGTACATATTGTTTGACACAATTCTGAATAATAACTATTGCGTATAAACAACTTACATGAAGATCTTAAGAAATAACATAATATGAGCAACAACTCTTGTGTTTTACGTATTTCTACAAAGATGAATTTGATCTAAAATAAGTGCAACTTCTTGTAGTCTTCTTGCCTTCATCTTATTTGTTGAGCAAGCTAAGAGCAACAACTCCTTGCTTCTTCATAAATTTGTCAAGATGTATATGATTGATGATTTGAATTACATCTTGACGAAATCTTAATCTTTATATTCTTTCTTAATTAAGTAAGATACGAGCAATATCTCATTGCTTCTTCATGATTCTTCCAAGATGTATATGATTGGTAAATTGAATAACATCTTATAGAATTCTTCATATTGTTATAATGGATGATTGCTTCGATTTGGTTGTGTTCTAATAGTGATAGCTTTTCTTTTTAACTTGAACATCAACAACCCGTGATTTTCAGCTTGCAACTTTTAGCACCCAGCCAAGCAGCATATGGCAAGCTCATCAATATTAAACATCATGTGTTGAGCAACAACTAACCAACCAACAACTTTAAACATACGATTCTTTTCTTATATAGCCAAGCAAAAATAAAGCCATTGGCTATTTGAAAAAGAGTCATTACAAATAGTACCACGACATCCTTATCTCTTTCACACTTTAAGTTAGTGGAGAGGTAGTGGCATAATGATTTCCATACTTTGTACTATTGTACTGCATTACCGTTATATTATTTCCTTCTGCTCTTCAGAGGCTTCTACGAGCATGATATTAGAAGCGGGAACATAACATAAGGTCTTCAGAACTTCAAGTCTTAAGAACTGCGTCTTCAGAGTCTATTGCACATGGTCGTGAGAACCCGTTGTAGCGAACCTTTAGATCAAAAGAGATTCAAGTCTTTAGAGTCTTAAGAACAGCGTCTTTAGAGTCTTCAACACTTGGTCTTTAGAACCTGTTTGTAGATAACCTTGGACCTTAAGAACTTCGAGTCTTTGGAATCTTCAGACCTTCTGTCTTAGAATCTTTAGCACTTGTTTCTTTAAGAATCCTTATCTTCAAAACCATGTTACTACAAACATAAAGTCTTCAGCATCTAGACTTCAGTTAGAAATGTTGTCTTCAGATATTTTAACTATGTCTTCTTTGGAACAAGTTATATTTTAGAAACTAAGTTTTTAGCATCTAAACTTCTGTAGAAACTTTGTCTTCAGATCTTCTAACTTTGTCTCTTGAAACACACTATCTTTTAGAAACATTAGTCTTCAACATTTAGACGTAAGTAACGACTTATGTCTTCAGATCCTCAGATTGGTTTCCTTAGAACACATTGTTTTTAGAAGCTTGAGTCTTCAGCATCTAGGAATAAGTAATAACTTTTGTCTTCAGATCTTTTGACTGGTTTTTTTAGACAAATATCGGGGCTTACACTTCTGAGCCTTCTGAAGTGTCTTGCTACTGTCCAACATAACTTGTGTTGCATAAAAGCATAATCAATTCTCTTCTAATGTCTTGGCCACGTCATTCATCAAAAGCAGAACCTGTTTGTTAAGTACTAAAAAATAACAAACATTACTATTGAAATAACTGGCTGAACAATCAACTGATAATGAAATCAATGAAGTCTCCATCAAATGTTTTTTCCCAAAGGAAGGGAAAGATAAACATCGAGTAAACCTGAGAAGGGTGAAATCACGATCAAACGACCGAGAGATCGGGTATGGGAGTATGTTACGCGAGGAGAAGGTATTAGCACCCCATACGTCTGTGGTACTATATCATATCCACTCTTGTTGTTCTAATCAAAGGGTGTGTAAGAATCTAGATCTAAGCTGTACAGGGAATGCATGCAAAAGAAAAAACAGAGAAAATAATGTAGGGAAAATAAAAAGTTGTGCTCGTTCGGGCCCTACCCCAATGCCTATGTATCCATTTTAAGGAATCAGAGCAGTCGTTGTTCGGCTTCAAAAGTTTTTGTTTGTTTTGTGTTTTTTAATGAACAAACATTAATTTCGCCTTCTGCCGTAACTCGATCTTTAGAGACTTACGCGTCAGCACATAAGTGAATTAACATGTTCTTTTGAAAAAGTTTGAAAGAAAATCCCGAAGGCACAAAAGAGTTTTCATTTATTGGTATTTTTTACCTTAAAGAAGGATTTGAAAGTTGTTAGATGTTTTATAATTTTTCAAGAAAAAGAGTTTTAGTCTTAATGCAAGGATGTAAAAGAAAGAGAAAAACATCTAAGGGAGACTAACCTAGATTTATCCCTAATGTTATCATACAATAATTGACCCTAAGGTTGAGTTTTAAAAGGGGAGTCTCTATCCTATGTTAGCATGCATGGATACCTATCCTAATGTCTAGCTCGAAAGCTACTCTAATCGAGTGATCTTAAGGGAAGCATACAAATTTCTATCTTAAGGGAACATGGTATAACAAACAAATAAGCAAACAAGTTCTTTGGAAAAAGCACACAAACATGAGTAGCACATACCGACTCAAAGGGGTGGGGGTAACAAGAGAAATTCTTTAGCTAAGGGGAGCAGATCACCCGAAGCAAACAAGTGGGAGATAGATGAAATAAAAAAAGAAAATAAATGCCTTAGCTAAGGGGAGAGGATCACCCGAAGCAAACAAGCGGGTAGAGAAGTATCAGCAATGGCCATTGTGAACTCCTGACAAAGTGTGGGGCTTGGTTGCGAACCCTTCTCCATATGACCAACTCGATATACAAGATCTATAAAAATTTGAAGCATCGACGTATAACGTGAGCTAAGGATGACACAGACTAGAATGTGCGGGGGTAGATTGTATACCCTCTCTGCTTGCCTCCTTTTGAGGACTTATCATCTATAATATAATGCAGGCACAAATGTAAACACACGTGCAAAATACATACTTCAAAGGTAGGATTTTAAACAAACACAGATAGCATACATAAAGCGGTGCTTGTTACAGGACTTTAAACAGATACTTCGAGCACATGCTCTTTATTTCCTGCATCCTACTTCACATGATTTCTAGAAAGTGATAAAAGCCCCTACTATACATGATCTTTAGAAAGAGGTAAATGCTGAAATGAGAAACCAAAGAAAATACCAAACAAACAAAATTTTGTAGCATGACAAGCAAAGAAGAGAAACCCAGAAAACTTCGAGTAAGCTTCACCAAGCAAAGAAAAGAGTCAGAAATCAAATGTCTGGAATAAGCGTCGAAATATCGTCAATGTGAAAATAAATCACAATCGAAACTCAAGCATAGCCGCATATCACACAATAAACCTGCACAAGACTCAAATATCAACAAGTAAAGGTGAATCACAAGATGGAGCAAAATAATTACTAAACATAATCGACAATAGAAAATTCTAAACAAAATTCAAAAATAAATTCTAGAAAAATTCTATTAAACTCTACTATTCTTAATTGTTTTTATTATAGAAAAAATTCTATAAAAAACTAAAGAATTAATTCCGAATAAAAAAACTAACAAGTTTTCAATGATTTATAATTTTTATCATAAAAAAATCTAAATCTAACAAGAAGATAGTAGGGTCAGCGGTGTGAGATTTGCAAGGGAGTATGGCCAGAAAATCCCCAGACGCTAGGCCTATCCAGAAAGTCTAGTAACAAATTTTTGTTCACAAACCTTCCATTATCCAAAAGCTTACCAAAAAAAACTTGATAATGGGCTTGGGAATCTGGTCCAGCCTTTGTTCTATTTCAACAAATTTTATTACTAATATTGAAAAGATTCAAAAAAAAATAAAAATAAAAAAGAATGAGGAAATCATAGAACCGGAAACGGTGGCGTTTGGCTAAGTGACGATTCAGTTGATTCCAAAACATTGAAACCCTTCTTCTCTTATCTTCTACGATTTTCGGCAGTATTGCTGCCATCGCCACCACCAAACCTTGGCCAAACCATCTTGAATCTATAACTTCTAAACATTTATCTCAACTAAAATCATGCCTTAATCTTAGATATATCCCCAATTTTCCATGAGAACCACTTAGACGTTTGGATTGACGAAGTTAATCACGAAACCCTAAGCTCTAAAATTCATAATTTCGAGTGCACTAACGATGATTCAAGCAAAAATCGCCATTCGTAAGCATCAGAGCACGCTGAAGCGCACACAATCGAGAAAGAAAAAGCATTAAAAAACCTACTCTGAGAGTCCGACATTCCGGTGTGGTGGTTTCTCATCTCCGGTTTTCCTCCGCTTCTATTAGCGCATTTCGCGATTCAGAGTTCTCACCAACTCCTCTGCAGGTTCAAGTCTTCTCTGATTTCAGGCCTCATCGCGGTTTTGTTCTTAGTTCTTAGATTCAATCTCAACTCTATCAATAGATAAGAATACACATATGTTCATAAAGAGTGGCTGAAGGAAGAAGAAATCCTTACTCGTCGGAGTCGCTCCGACAATGCTTCAAGCGTGATTCAGGAATGCGTTCTTTATTCGTTGCCTTTATCATCAAAAAGATAATTATGTGGAAAGACAGAAAATATTTTAAAAATATTAAGATAATATGTCAATTAATTATGAGGATAATTTATCCGAAAATGACAAATACAAACAAGGAATCTAAACGAGAATCCTATTGCATAGTTTCCAGAAGTTGAACGAGCAAGTGATGCAGGCTCAATTTTTTTTGCCAAAATCATCTTGAGCATAGTTTGAACAGATTCATCGACCTTGTCCTGATCTTTGAAGTGTTCTCTGATCATTCTCTATTCTTCCTTTATTTCATTAATGGTTGTTTTTACATCACAATCAGTCTCAGAGTTGGTACCATTAGATCTTGTTGCTTTCCTTTTTCTTCAGCATCGTTTGCAGCTTCTGCAGCTTTAGCTTCTTCTTCTGCTTTGAGTCTTGCTGATCTAGCTTCAGCAAGTTGAGCTTGTTCTCCAGCTTCTCTTTGCTTGCCAGCAATTAGTTCAACATATCTAACTCTTTCTCTTTCTTCCTTCCTTTCAATTACCATTTGAACATCCCCAATTCTGGATGCTTCAGCGAAGGAATTCATTCAATCAATCTCAGAAGACATCCACTTCTAAAACTTCTTCCAAGAACCATCCATGTTTTGAGGCTCAATGTTTGTGCTTGCCTCTTCCTTTAACTTAGAAATCCTTTTCTTAGCCTTGATTCTAAAGATGCTAATGCATTCATCCAAGTTTTTAGGAGAAGGTTTTTTATAAACAACCAAGCTAGGTTGGGTTTAGGATGGCTTGGTTCAGAAGTTTGTTCATGGGAATTTTGTGGTAAAGGTTCGGTAATATTGAAAAGTTATGAACAAGTGAAAGGTTCGATTGAAGAAATTTCAATAGCTTCCTGATTATCAGAGATTGTTCTTTCTGATATTTGAGAACAAAGGGAGAAGTTGGATCATGATGAATGATGGGTGAGTCATGAAAAGTGGTTTCTTTGTTGAAGAAGGCAAAATGAAGATTGGTATTGAAGATAGAAAGGTGAGAGTCTTGTGGAAGTAATTGAGTTGAGGTTAATGGAAAAGTGGAAGTATGTATTGGTTCTGATGGAATGAAGGTAGTGAAAGATGGAATAGGATTTGAAATAGGAGCTAATGTTGTAGTGGTGTTTGATGCAGTTGGAATATTTACAATTGGAACAGAAATAAAAGTGGTAATGGTGGATGATGGAACAAAAACCTATGTTTGTGTGATGATGATTGGAATAGATGAGACTGCATCAATAATTTTAGAAACAGATAATGAAACATGTACAGAAGTATCAACATCAGACTTAGTAGTTGTTATAGAAATTTCATTTCCCCGAACGACATCTTTTAGAAAGTTAGATTTCTTTTTATTTTTCTCTTTCTTCTCTGGTTCAGAAGCATTTAAGCTTCTCTTCCTTTTACCAATAGAATAATCAACTCCCTCATCAGGAAAATCTGAATAATTAAAGTTTGACATATCATGTCCTTCTTGTTGCATCATTAGAACGTATGCAACCACACTGGATACTGAATCTAATTTAGAGAACAGAGTATAGTCCCTAACAGGAATTCTTTTGTGGTGATAATTCTCAGATGGTTTAATCAGAGGTTTGACTTTGAGTTCTTCAATCAACCTCATATTCCTCAGATTTTGCCCATTAAAGAAATCTTTGATGCTTGGAGTCAGATCCTCTTTATAATTGGCTTCTTCAATCAAAAACTTTACCAAGCCATTTTCAACAAAAATATCAGTTAGAAGTTGTCCACAAGGAATATTGGGAGTAACCTTTTTTTGGGAAGTGCGGTGGTTCTGGTCTTTCTAATAGAATCCCTTAAGTAGTTAAACAAAATAAAAGGAAGATTAATCCTTTGTTTGGACATCATAAAGTACAACATGAATTTCTGATTGGTGTTGAAATAATCAGAGGAACTTGAATGAGGTCTAGGATTTATGCATCCTAGAATAATTTTATGTCATACTCTAAGATTATCATGAAGATCCTTGCTTTTGTACTTGGATTTCTCAACAGAGAAATTTGTGAACAGTAGTTGATCTAGAGATTTGTTTTCCGCCTTTGATTTATTGTCCAAACCATATACATGTTTTCCTTTCAGGAACTTCAATCCCAGTAGTTTTGCAATGGACTCTTCAGTGATGATGACCCTTTGTCCAAGAACATCCGAAACAATATGAAAATCGTCCAATCAACATTTTTCCAAAAATCTATCACTAGCACTTCATAGACAGGACCATGAAGCCTTTGGAAATAGTTTTCCCAGCCTTGAGCCTTTAGTTCTTCTATTTAAGTCACATCTATTTGCAGCAAGATTGTCAAAATCAACTATTAATTCCTTAAGAAAAATCAACTCCGTTGGTTTTAGGTTACAATGAACTTGAGGACTTTTCTGTGTAATATGATTGTCATCAGTAGGATTTGCTAAAGATGAGGGAACCTCAGTTGATGAGGATGGAGCGATGGTTAATAAAGACGAAACTGTTGAAAATGATGAAACCATTGTTGAAGACGAAGATGCAATGGTTGACAATGTTACGACGAATAAATTTATGACTTGTTCTAGTTCTTTAGAAAACTTAATAGCTTCTTCATGAGCAGGAGTCATCATTGTTAAAATTTGATGGAGATTTGTAGAAGAAAATTGTAGACGAACTTTTGAAGAGGATGAAGAAACCCTAGAAAGAGACGAGGAACATTCGAGAGAAAAAGAGTTTTAGGGTTTTAAAGAGGTGTGGGGAGTGATGTGTGGTTATGGGTGTTTTAAAATAGAAATAAAAGGATTAATGGGGTTGTAATTAATAAAAGTAATCATGACGTATCAAATCACGAAATTGCACGATGTTCGTAATCTAGCTTAGGTAATGTGTGATGGTTAGGAAAAATCAAGGATTACACGCGTTTAACCACTTCGTCTAACTAAGTTTCACAATAATTGTACTTAGGGTCTGAATGAACAAAGGGTTTCATGAGTTCAGAGATATTTTTGACTGAAGCATCCTCTGATAACTGAGCTTTTAGATACAACTTCTGATCAACTTCTTTCTTCTTATGCTTTCTTCAGAGCAGTCTTCTAGATGTTCTGAGTCATCTTCATATTGATTCCTCTTATCTCTTTGAGTATTCTTATTTTTCTGATTTGACAAGAGTAATCTTCTTTTAGATTCGAATGTCTAATTAGAGAACTAGAATCTGAGTTTTCTCTTCAAACGGCCTCGTCATTCTTCTGTTTAGAATCACCCGTCTAACTTTTGAAGGAGTCCTCAGAGCACAGATATTATGATATTTTATTATCAGAACATCCATATGTTTGTCAGGATTTTCTTTGAGTAGAAGCTTATTTTTCAGAAGGTCAATGTTTCATGAACTTCTAAGAGGCTTTATGCTCGATAGAAGGTTAATTTCCTAACGTCTTCTGAAGTTTGATTTCTTGAGCAAATTGCAAAATTTGTCCTAATACAAATATCATCATACTTTGATGATTTTGACTGACAATCTTGTTCTTGCAATGCTGAGCTAACTTGTTTAGAGTTAGTCCTTTGAACATACTTTAGATGAATCAATGAGTGTTATTTCCTCAGCAATGTCTTCACTTCTGCAAAGTCTCTTTTGACACAATCAATGATTAGATCTTCTGCATAAGATCTTATGTCTGCTTGAATAGACATTTTATCATGAGGTCCTTATATATCATAAGATAACAGTCTTTCTTCTTTTGAAAAGATTCCTAATGAGGTCTTATGAGAAAGTCAAGGGTGGACTAATCCGTTTCTTGAAAACATCTCATATTTCTCAATGGAAATTAATCAAAAGCATTCAACAGATATAACTTCTTATCTAATGAATCTTTTCCTGTTAGTTTGTTCTTCAATTTTTAGTATTTAGACAGTAGTTAAAAATTGAATAACTATCACCTTAGAGTATTTCTTCACAAAGCATCTGGATCTTTATCTGACACTGTTAGGTGTTTGAATATCCATCAATAATAGAACCAGGCTCTGATACCAATTGAAGGTGTGAAGAAAATTCAAGAAAGGGGGGTTTGAATTAAGTTTTCCTTTCTTGTAAAACTTTGCTTCTAAGCATTATTCGTTGAACAATGCTTCTGATGGTTGCTTCTAATTAATACTTCTATTTTGGTTCAGAAAACATAAACTCTAAAGCATAAGCAAAAGTAAAGAACAGGCGATATATCCTAGTTCACTTGAGAAACCCCCAAGATAATCCAGTCCACCTTTCCGAGGTGATTTTGCCTTGAACTCAAGGACTTAATCCACTATAATCAATCTAATTACAATCGCACGAGCAACCGCCGGTGACTAACATCTAATGAAACATTCAGGGATCCAAACTAGATATAATATTCATTGACCCAACAGGACCTGATTCCCCATAATCTTCTATAAGGATTTCCTTCAATGATATCCATCAGTGATCTCAGAAGGTTGACCTTCACTCAATCCCCTTTGAGATATGAAAACCATTAACCCAATAGAATCCACTACCAGGACTTCATCTACGACGGTCGCAGCCAAAGTCTTCTCAAGTATTCTAATCTTCACTCGATCACTTGAGGTGCCAACTAATTCTAAACAAAATGGTTTTTCTGGAGATTATATGAGTGCTTCTTATCAAGCAGATTACTCCTAATTTAGGTACATATTGTTTGACACAATTCTGAGCAACAACTCTTGTGTACAAACAATTTACATGAAGATCTTAAGAAATAACATAATCTGAGCAACAACTCTTGTGTTTTACGTATTTCTATAAATATGAATCTAATCTAAAATAAGTGCAACATCTTGTAGTCTTCTTGTCTTCATCTTATTTGTTGAGAAAGCTATGAGCAACAACTCCTTCCTTCTTCATAATTCTGTCAAGATGTATATGATTGATGATTTGAATTACATCTTGAAGAATTCTTCATCTTTATCTTCTTTCTTCATTGAGCAAGATACGAGCAACAGATCCTTGCTTCTTCATGATTCTTCCAAGGTGTATATAATTGGTAAATTTAATAACATCTTGTAGAATTCTTCATATTGTTATAGTGGATGATTGCTTCGATTTGGTTGTGTTCTAATAGTGATAACTTTTATTTTTAACTTGAACATCAATAACCTGTGATTTGCAACTTGCAGCTTTTAGCACCCAACCAAGCAGCCTATGGCAAGCTCATCAGTATTCAACATCATGTGTTGAGCAACAGCTAACCAACTGCTGTACCCCAAAATTTGCCCTCCCATATTTCTCAAAATATTGCAAGAAAAATCTCCAAGTTGCTCAAGGTTGCTCAAAGATTGACCAGACAAGCTATCTCCTAAGGCAGTCTATCCCAAATTAGGGTTTCACATTGCATCAAGATCCTTGAGTCCAAATGACCTCAAGTGCTCCCTAATGTCCTAATATGTTCTCAAGATCATCCATGTCAAGTTTCAAGCCTTGCAGAGGAAGTTTGCTCAATCAATTGTTCAAAGGTCCAAAAGTCGACTGTGCTAGGGCAAAAGTCAACTGTGACCCAAATACAGTCAAACTTCAAGATTTTTTGTCAACATTCTCATTTTGAAGGATATTTCATCATTTTATCAAGGGTTGATCATGATTCATCAAGGATTGCTCAAAATTCATCAAGATTCAAAAGTTGCTAAATTAGGGTTTTGTAGGAAAAGTCAACTCAACTTTGACCAAGCATAACTTTCTCATGCTTTATGAGAAATGACCCATCCAAATCTCATTTTTAAGAGGATGAAATTCCCAACAATCCATCTTCATACCCCAAGTTCAAAAAATGTACTCACCAGAAGTTATGAATTTTGACATTATAGGTCATTTTTGAAAGTCAACAAAAACACCTTTTTTGCCAAAGCTTCTAACCTGATCATGGAATATCAAAATAAAATGAGACCAAAAGGGTTGATTAAAGGACATATCAAGATTTCTAAAAAGTCTAAGAACACCTCCAAAAGTTCAAAATTGAAGAAGTTATGCATTGTTGAAGTTGGACTTTTTTGCAAAATTGCCAAAAGTCAACTATCCCCAAAACTTCAAATTTTGCCAAATGGGCCCATTCTTTTTCACTTGTTTTGAGTTTGCATTATTTCCCACGTGCTCTAGCTTTGGCCATGTGTCCATATCTTATTTTTATTATTTAATTTGATTTTTATTTAAATTAATTCATTTTAAATCAAATAAAATCACATAAAATCAAAAACATTGAAAGCTAAAGATATTGTGATCATTTCAGGCTCCAATTACAGCTAGCTTTGCAATCAAACTCGTATCAAGGACATTAGGCACAAGGAGATTGGATTTAGGCCAAGTTTGGAAAACTTTAATGGAGGATAAAATCAAATCTCAAAATCATCAATGTAGGAAGATTTGGACAAAGTTTGTTACCCTAATGTATTGTACAATACATAAGCAAGCGAAACACACAAGAATCGGGGTTGGAAATCAATTGTGGAGGCAGAACGAAAGTTGCAAAAATCAAGAAAAAGCTTGAGATCGAAATCAACCCTAGAGGCAGTTTCAAGCCTTGATATTGGTCTCAATCTCTCCCTTGCCATCTCCAGAAGCGAAACCAATCAAGACAACGCGTTTCCAGCCCCTCCCAAGCTCTGTAAGTCCCTCACGAATCCGCCCTATTCTTGAATTCGATTTGTGTTATTCTTGCATCTATAACGAAAACTAATTGCATTTTCTGATTCACCATACCATTTGCAATCTTTTGGTACTATTTAATTTCATTCATCTAACTTGTATTTTGATTCACCATAGTTAGGGTTTCAAGGTTTGGTTTAGGGATTTTCGTTTCAGGTAAAATTGATCTTCATGATGGACATGGTTGTGATCAGTAGGTTGAGACGAACTCAACCATGT